AGACTTTGATAGTAAGATAAAAAGCACTAACTAAATGCACAAGCTGATGGAAAATGTAAGCAATCCCATAATTGCCAAGCCATCCATGCCTGTCATAGACACATTTGGGAAATCAATTTCCCCTAATATGCATTTTCAAATGTATGATTTTTACTAATATATGCATTTCTTTGCACACTTTACACTACTGTGTACATTTTTGTACACGTTGCTTAGCTGGAGAGCTGCGCTGCAAAATTCAGAAAAGTACGAATTTCGAAGGATTGCTTTGTTTAGTTTAGCTTAGTTATTTTAAATGTGTTTGGGGGTTTTTAATGAACAGATTTTCATGAGTAACAAAAGTACATTCAGTTTCTTTGCTTTCAAATTGTAGCGTTCTTAATGCAGGTCAGTTACCTTCAGTTTGAGACATTTTTGTTATGGGCAGTTTGGAGTTTCAGGGGGAAGAGAAGTGGGGAGACAGAGGGGAGGAAATAAACATGGGGAAACAGTAAACTTCTGTTGCTCGGTTAAATTAGCCAGATTGATTCACATGTTGTCGGGGGGGGGAGAGTGTCGGTCATTGTAATATGTCATAAAGGGGCGCCACACCAGGGGGGCTGTGTTTCGTAGAAGTGTCAATTAAGCAGATTCACCGTTAAATGTAAATGAATTCAAATTTCACCCCCGGCCCTACTCAATCCAACTTGGACATGTGTTATCCATCGTGGAGCAATTTTCCAAATCCTTTTGTTATAAAAATTATAAGGTCTAAGGTATAAAATAAATGTGCATAAATGTACCAGGCAAACACATGTTGTTGTTGTTTAGTTGTTTAGTCATGTCTGATCCTATGGACCAGAGCATACCAGGCACTCCTGTCTTCCACTGCCTCCCGCAGTTTGGTCAAATTCATGCTGGTAGCTTCGAGAACACTATCCAACCATCTCGTCCTCTGTCGTGCCCTTCTCCTTGTGCCCTCCATCTTTCCCAACATCAGGGTCTTTTCCAGGGGAGTATTCTCTTCTCATGAGGCGGCCAAAGTATTGGAGTCTCAGCTTCAGGATCTGTCCTTCCAGTGAGCACTCAGGGCTGATTTCCTTAAGAATGGATAGGTTTGAACTTCTTGCAGTCCATGAGACTCTCAAGAGTCTCCTCCAACACCATAATTCAAAAGCATATTCCCAGCTTAGCTCCTTGCTTAACTGGCTCCCCATATGGTGAACAGGCACAAATGGAGGGAAATGGGCAAGGGATGACTCCAGGGCGGCCTGGCCTGGGGTTCCTCCCCACAGGTGTTGGTGGGGGGACATGTCGGCTGGCTGGGCTCCCCCCTGTGTGGGTGGGCAGGTGGTGCAGCACCACCCCGCTCCAGTGAGGGGGGTTGCTCTGGCAGCATCGGCGATGAAGGTTGGATACTGTGGGCTCCACTCATCTTCTGCTCCACTGCCCAGTGTGTGTGCACCCAGCACTGGCAAACCATGCTATGCCACTGCTGGGAACTGTAATTTGCTAAGAGTGCCGAGAGCCGTAGTGGTTTCACAATCTTCCCTATTCCCAGGGAACTCTGGGAACTGTAGTTCTGGGAGGGGAATAGGAGCCTCCTAACAGCCGGAGTGTTTACCACACCCCACCATTCTGCTTTAAGTGTATAGTGCAGTTGGGGGACTCAGTATCTTCTCTAACAGCACTAATTTTGTTAATTCATCCCTAGGAAACATTTCAAGAGCCTCAAAGTTGGATAGCGTGAAGTCAAATAACTACAAATGGGCCTTGAAGAAATAGTTTTAGCACTTTTCTCTCAGAAGGCGCCTGGGGAGATGGGTATCTGGAAATGAGAGCAAGCAGAGGACAAAGAAAGGGTAATGACAGATGAAAGGAAGGACTGAATAATGAGTGTGATTAACATGGGAGAAGTTCTCTAAACCAGCACCTGAAAATGATGCGAAAGGCTCCTTCGAGTTCTTATGATCTCCATCTAGGTAGCCAAGTGTAATTGGCTCCCCACGGGGCAAGTTCCCCACCAGAAGACTACGCAGTCGCTTCTAAAGTCTTCCACTCATCTTAGGTCCTTTCCAAATGAACAGAAAATTAAAATAATTTAAAAGAAAAAAAACCACACAGACACAAATTAGAAACCCAGCAAATTTTAGACTTTGAATATGAACTTTGAGTAGTTTTTTTAATGAACAAAATCAGAAACTTCATTTATTGGGGTTTTCAGGTGTTTATAATGATAGTGGTGCCTTGCGTACAGGAAATTCCAGGTTTGATCCCTGACATCTCCAGGTCGCGATAGAAATGTTATTGTTATTTGTATTGTTATTCTTATTTATTCAATTTATATATCACCCTTTCTCAGGAGATCCCAGGGAGGTGTACAATGTTAAAATCAGAACATCACTGATAAAGCCATAATAAAAAACACAATTAAAAAATAATGACAGGCAGCCTGACGGCAAAATCATCATCATAGTAACAGATCACTTCCCAACACGTTCCCATGTTCCATGTCTGAAACTCTGGAGAGCCGCTGAATATTTTCTTGATACCATAAAATAAAAGAAACCATTCTAGATACAAACTAAATCAGAGAGAGAAAGAGAAAAGAAAATGCGGAGTCCGCTCTCAAAGGTCGCTTTCACCCTTGTCTCTTACAAAAAGTCATGGACCCTCCCACGTCTCACCTGGGAGCTTTCCTTCCTTCTTCCTGAGTGGGGGAGAGGTCTTCCCTTCCTTGCCACCCCCCACTTTTCTTCCATCCACCCACCACCTTCACCAATCTGTGCTTTGGATATTCTGAATACGTCTAAATTTGACACCTGAGTCATCGGGAGGAATTCAGTGTCACTCTGTTACAAACATTTCGTCAGCCAAGTTTTTTCTGCTAGACTGATAGAGCAATTTCCCCTCTCCTTGTTCTGAGGTTGTTGTTGTTGTTTTCCTTTGGCTTTGCTTTTCTCCAGCTGTTTCTTCTTCTTCTTCTTCTTCTTCTTCTTCTTCTTCTTCTTCTAAATTTTATTTTCAAAGTTTCAAAAAGAAAAGGAAAAAACCTTTTTCTTTTTACACACACACACACACACACATTTACATTAAACCATAGTCCATATCAGTACCTTTATGGGGTTCCCTGAACCCCCAGACTTCCCCCTCACCCCTCCCTTGGCTTCCAAAATTTACCTTCCCTTTTAAACTGCATCTAATTGCATTTGTCCAAATCATTGTACTTCATTTTTATCCTTTGTAGTTTTGAATTACAAGTGCTATGTCAATCCTGCTAACTTTTTTTTAGATTTTTTACAGTGTTCTTTAATATACCGTGGTACCTCGGGTTACATACGCTTCAGGTTACATACGCTTCAGGTTACAGACTCCGCTAACCCAGAAATAGTACCTCGGGTTAAGAACTTTGCTTCAGGATGAGAACAGAAATCGTGCTCCGGTGGCGTGGTAGCAGCAGGAGGCCCCCTTAGCTAAAGTGGTGCTTCAGGTTAAGAACAGTTTCAGGTTAAGAACGGACCTCCGGAACGAATTAAGTACTTAACCCGAGGTACCACTGTATTCTATAAATTTCTCTATTAAATTTGTTATCCTCTTGGTGCCTGATCTTCCCAGTCAGCCTTGCCATCTCCACATAGTCAACCATCTTCGTTATCCATTCTTCTTTTGATGGGACTCTGCTCCAGGGGTTCTCGGCAACAAAACCTCCAGCACATTTACAAAGCTAAGCAGGCTCTTGTTGTCAGCATCGCCCTTGAGCCAGTGCCACCAACTGGACTCATCCACTTCAGCCCCAACTGGGCTAGGCGAGCTGGGTAGCACTTCCAGAGACCACCTTCTGCACAGTGCTGTGGACTCACAGCTTAGAGATGTGAGCACCGGATTCACTTCCACAAGAAGACAGTTGTCGCACAGCAGAGTACAGCAGAGTCCAGCAGAGTATATAAACAACTCGGAGAGCAGCTCTGCAGAATATCTTCTTTATTCCATCTACAACTATACAAACTATATACAGAGCTAAATAGGTCTAAGCATAAATAAATGCTGCACTGCACTGAGTGTCTGCAGCTGCTCTTAGCAGCAACCTTATCTCTACACACGATCTCTAACACTCAGTCTCTCTCTCTCCGACACTGACTGACTGACTGACTTGGTGCTGGAGCAGAATAAGTAGAGAGCAGAACACGCCTCCTCCTCTCTGGAGAATCAGCAGACTCCTCAGGAGATTCATGGATATGGGAGGGGTGAAATCTCTTCACTTGTATGCTTTCAAAATGGATGGGGGATGGTATGTTGAGATGCCTGCATTGCAAGGGACTGCATGGCCCTCAAGGTTTCTTCCAGCTCTACGCAGTGGTGGAGGAAGGGGTGGGGAGGTGCAGGTCGCCCTGGGTGACATCACTGAGGGGGGGTGTGACAAAATGAGTTTAATCCAGAACGCGGCAGCTAGACTGGTGACTGGGAGCGGCCGCAGAGACCACATAACACCGGTCTTGAAAGACCTACATTGGCTCCCAGTACGTTTCCGAGCACAATTCAAAGTGTTGGTGCTGACCTTTAAAGCTCTAAACAGCCTTGGTCCAGTATATCTGAAGGAGCGTCTCCACCCCCATCGTTCTACCCGGACACTGAGGTCCAGCACTGAGGGCCTTCTGGCGGTTCCCTCACTGCGAGAAGCCAAGTTACAGGGAACCAGGCAGAGGGCCTTCTCAGTAGTGGCGCCTTCCCTGTGGAACACCCTCCCACCAGATGTCAAAGAGAACAACAACTACCAGGCTTTTAGAAGACATCTGAAGGCAGCCCTGTTTCGGGAAGCTTTTAATGTTTGATGTATTATAGTATTTTAATATTCTTTTGGAAGCTGCCCAGAGTGGCCGGGGAAGCCCAGCCAGATGGGCGGGGTATAAATAATAAATTATTATTATTATTATTATTATTATTATTATTAAAAGAAATAAAAAATTGGGCTCACTGAACTTTTTAGGAGAGATTGGGAGTGTTCAGGGTAGTATGGCCTTAGACACCTACAGCACCCGGTATTCCCAGGCGGTCTCCCATCCAAGTACTAACCAGGCCTGATGCTGCTTAGCTTCTGAGATCAGACGGGATGAACTTTTTAGAAGTGACGTGTTGGCTTAGGTGCCTGCAGGTTCCGCGCTGCCTGAAACGGCAGTGTGGGACTTGCGTCTGCCTACTGCCTCTCCCTCAGCCACCCTACAGCTGAGGGAGAGGCGGCAGAGAGGCTCGCCCCATCCCCATGGGCGGATCGCCCCGCCCCTGGCTGCAGGACAACTCCCTCCCCCACATCAGGCACGTGAGCGGCTAGCTATTCCGCTGGCTCTACGATTCTGTAATTCCTTTTTTTTTTTTTTTTTTTAGTATTTTTATTAAACAATTTCAACATAACAAATTATCAAGCCATATAATCACATGCATTATTTCCCCCCTTTTCCCCCACCCCCCTTCCATCCCTTCCTCCCCCCCAACCAGGGACTTCCCTAATCTCCTCTCTCTGATTTCTCTGCATATATTATTCTCTGCCTGTTATAAAATTATACATATCCTTGCCTTGTCTATCTGTCTATCATGTTATCAACCAATCAATTTGTGTATGTTTATTAAAAACCTGCCAAGGAGTCCAGTTCATTTTGTTGTCTTTTTAGATAATCTGTAAAAAGCTCCCATTCTTCCTTAAAGTCACAGTTGTCCTGGTCCCGCAGTTTGTATGTCAATTTAGCCAACTCTGCGTAGCTCATCAGTTTTTCTTGCCACTGTTCTTTCGTTGGAATTTCCTCATTCTTCCATCCTTATGCTATCAAGACTCTTGCCGCTGTTGCGCTGATTCTGTAATTCTTGACACACACACACCCCCAAGCCAATTTGAAGAGGAGGAGAGGAGAGGAAAGTCCCATTTTACTAGCAGAACTCCTTGCACAGACTTTCACTAACAGGACTAGTTAGTTCAATTCAGCCCATTTGGGCTTTCTAGTTTCCCCCAATTGTTCTTTTGCTTTGCTTTGGCCAGCACTAAAGATAATCGTAGAATTGTAGACGTGGAAGGGACCATAAGGATCATCTTCTAGTCCAACGCCCTGCAATGCAGGAATATGCAGAGATCAAACCAACAATCTTGGCATTATCAGTACCATGCTTTAACCAACGGATCTATCCAGGATATGAAATTTTATACGCTGTCAGCTTTCAAAAACTGAATACCACTGTATGCCCACCACTGACTAGGATCAAATATGTTGTTGTTGTTTAGTCATTTAGTCGTTTACTCTTCGTGACCCCATGGACCAGAGCACGCCAGGCACTCCTGTCTTCCACTGCCTCCCGCAGTTTGGTCAAACCCATGCTGGTAGCTTTGCGAACACTATCCAACCATCTTGTCCTCCGTCGTCCCCTTCTCCTTGTGCCCTCCATCTTTCCCAACATCAGGGTCTTTTCCAGGGAGTCTTCTCTTCTCATGAGGTGGCCAAAGTGTTGGAGCCTCAGCTTCAGGATCTGTCCTTCCAGGGAGCACTCAGGGCTGATTTCCTTCAGAATGGAGAGGTTTGATCTTCTTGCAGTCCATGGGACTCTCAAGAGTCTCCTCCAACACCATAATTCAAAAGCATCAATTCTTCGGCGATCAGCCTTCTTTATAGGATCAAATATAGCATACAACATCTATAAAAGAACCCATCATCGATAATATCCTTGTATATAGAGATATCAAATATTTGGATAACATCCGAGCCTTCAGAAGAGGTTTGGAAAGCTGGAGAATATTTTAAATCACTATCTCAAGCCGTTTTGTTTTAAGGATCAATTGACTTCCAGTTGTAGCCCAAATTCTGCAAGCTGCAGAGATACACACACAGCACCCCAGTGAAGATCTGAACCCTGAAGACTTGATAATGAAAGACATGACACAGCCTTGAAATATTTATTACACAATGAATTATCAATACCTTTTCGTGCAGGATCCCCCTGGATCTTTTTGTACATATCAAGCAAAGATTTCAGGGAGAGAGAAGCAAGCTTTTCCATGTACTGTATGTTTATTATTCCACTTTAAGTTTGGGAAGGTCAGCTCTGTTAGTGCCTCTGGAAGCTGAAATGGAAGGATCAAGGAAGACTGATCCCCTGTACTGAGGTAAAACCATGGTAATAATAAATAATTCTTCTGATAGAGAGAACTACTCTTATGTGGGGGGCATTAAAAAGGAATGAGGCAAGGAGAGAGGAACAGGGAGCTAGAAGCGAAACCACTGAAACTTCATGGAGTGGTATTTATCCATATTCTCTTTCAAAAACCAAAATGATTCACTCGGAGGGTAAAGTTTGTTGATTGCATCACTGGCTGTCAGAGATTAAGAGCTACGGAACCATGACATTTTAAAATTCAGAATAAAAACAGCTGGCGGCAATTGGAGTCCCAAGCACCCCGATTCCAATTAAATATCATTAAGTTTTTCTGCAACAGTCGGAGCCATTTGCAAGCATGAAACCCATAGGGTAAACAATGCACAGGAATTATTCCAGTGCAGACAATGAGCATTAAAAAAAAGCAAGCAAACAAACAAATTGTCCCATTAGAGGGAGACAACTGATCTCCCAAGCAAATAATGCCGTCCAACATGACATCTCATTTGTTATAGGACTGTGACAGAGAGCAGGCAGGAAAGAAGGAGATGGGGGAAGAGGAATTTTTGAATTAAATCTGCTGATGCCTATATTGAGATCTCATGTGCTCTGGAAAACAACATTACCCAGAGTCCTTGGCAGCTGTGCTATTGTGTGTTCAGACCCAGAAACCTCCCCCCTAAATAAATTCACACTTGACTCAAATTTTTGGTTTGGTTTTTGGCAGAATTTAGCCCACAACTTTATTGATTACAGAAAGTGACTCTGGTGCATAGGCTCTGGTTCGACTAGCTCCCTGCCATACAGGTAGCACTGACCCAGGGTTCCAGCATAGGTCAGCCAAGGGTGAACACCTGGATAATAGGAAAGCTAGGAATGGGCTAACTCCACCACCAAAATGTCTCCCTGCGGTTGACCAAACCATCGAGTCCCTGGATTCCTTTAATGGAATACCCTTCACATAGGGATGGCGAGAGCGTTCTCCCATCCCTATCACCTGAACCAGAGCCTATCTGCAACCTTACAAGTTGTGATGATTTGCTATGCAGCAGGCGAAACCCAAATGGCAACAGCCAATCAGCCAAGTGAGGAAAATTCCTGCTGTGCCCCTGTCCCAACACAATGGCATAGCAAGGTCAAGCGCAAAGCCCTAAAAGTAGCAAGAGGTGGACGGGTATTCCGAATGCACGCGTTGAAAGAAGAAGCTCTGGGTCACGTGCATGGGCATAAATAGGTCCCTTGAACTGTTTGGACTGTGTCCCATTGGCCAGCTTTGAGGGACCTACCAATTGGGTGTTGTGGCTGACTAAATGTACCCACCCACAACACAGGGTGTCAGTTTTCCAGGTCTCACCGCAATACATGCCCTCTAAGGGAGGACCCAATTTCCTGTTATAGCACCCAAGGTGCCTGGGAGGGAACTCTCCAGCGATACCTCCTCTTGACTGCATTTGCCACTGTCTGATAAGTAGCCAAAGGAGTTAGTGGGGTGAGCAGGAGAGACTTCATCAGGCAAAGCCTTCTTCCACCTGCCTTGCCCCACCCTCAAGTCTCTGCTTCTCAATTTGTGTTGTATTATTTTATGCACTGTGGCTTGCCATTGTTTTATTGATTGTCGTTTAGAAATTATTTCTTGTAATTGTTAAGAGTGAAATTCTGTTTAATTTTTATATGCTGATATTATTATTCTATACTATTCTAATGATGGTTGATTGTTACTTGTTTGATGTTGTTTGCTTATTTTAAAGTTATCTTTCATTATCACATTTTTGTATTGCATTAAATTGTTATAAGGTGTACATTCTTTGTTCCTTCAGCTTGTAAACCGCCTTGGGTATTGTAAGATAGAAAGATGGTATACAAATTAAAAGTGAAGAGGATGAGGTTGATTCTCGTGGGCATTCACCCTCCATCACCTTGTCAACAACAGGATGCAACAAAGTCTGAGTATCAGAATTAGGCTGTTTTCCAACTTTGTTGGGGAAAAACAATTGTTTTCTGCTTCCAATTCTGAACCGAGTCAAGTGTTGCTACTGATTAGGCAGAGTAAAAGAAATCAATCTGCAGATGTTCAAGGACACTTAACTTCACTTTATCCTTGCTTTGAAAACAGGCTCTAGGATTAAGTCCTGACAGCAGGTACGATAAAGCCCAGGTGATTCAAGAAAGCGGCCGGTTGCTTGTTTCTTTTTTTCTGCTGAAGAACTAAACGGCGAAAAGAGACCTGAAGAAGGATCAGACCACTGAATGCATCCATTCTGGGAGGTTTCTTGTGCGCTATTTACAAAGACCTGAAATATATCCTCTCTGCGGATATACATAATTCAGAGGGCCAAGTACCATAAGAGATTGCTTTTATCTATTTATTGTGAGCTCTGCCAAAGGTTATAAAACCATAAAGGCAAAAGGGGGCATGAAGGACATCTTTGCACGGAATGTATTCATAATTTAAAGGGATTGCAGCCGAGGTTTTCTCAACCCCTCGGAATAATTCTGACAGTTGGCTACGGAGAGTATTCATCGCCGCCTGCAGAACGACGACGATCATTTAACATTCAAGCCAAGGCTTATTGTTCCTGTCGCCTAAGATTATGCACAGAATGCCACATCTTAAGCCTTATTTACATGTAAAGTGAAAGCCACCAGTCTTTGGCTTGCGCTACTGCTTATTCAAAGGGATTCGAAAAATCAGTCCTGCCGATTTTAAGTTCCTTCTGAAGGGCTGCTTAGGAACATGGTGAGGGTGAAGTGGTTGAGATAAGGCCTGTTCTCTGGTTCACGTGTGGGTGAGAGACCTAGCTAGGAAGACAAAGAGCAAGGTGTGGGGAGGGGTGTGAAGTGAAGCTGAGTTTCAGCTTTAAAAACTTCAGGTAAAACTCTGTTTCCTGTCCTTTCCCCTCCCCGCTCTGTGGCCTTTGCTTCAGGCCTGCGTACCCCTAAAAGGCTGTGCTTCTTCAGAGTTGACCCCAAGGCATTTTGGTGCTTGAGGCAAAGGACAAGATGATGCCTC